TTCATGGGATTTCTATCTGCAACATTCGAGAAGGTTTTGCAACTTAATGTGGCCCTGGTAACATTACCAGTTACATTACCTGCAACTCAATATTAGGAAGGTGTTCTTAATGTCTTGTACACTCAGTGTATATTCTTGTATATGTTTGTAATATTTCTGCTGTTGGGAAGATAATTGTTATGCAGAAGGTGATGTATGTTTGTGCACATGGAAGTCTGATTCATGTTTAGTATTGGTTAATCATCATTTTGACAATAACTAGACTAAATCATTATTCAAATGACAAAAATGTGACTAAGACTTAATTATGTTTTAGTCAAAATCACTGAGACTACACTCAATTTTAAAAAAATAGTGCCAAACTCACACTGGTTTGGATAGGAAGAAACACTGTGCTGCTCTATTCATTGACTTATCTAAAGTGTGCGACACTGTCGACCATCCTTTACTAATTCAACGATTGTCTGAACTCGACCTGGATCAGATAACGTTAGTAGTTTTGATAGCTATAGACTAGGTCATTCCTGTATGTTTTACTGTCTATGTAAATAATATTGGTCGATCTGCATTTTTTAAAAACGTACACCTGTTTGCAGATGACACTGTTGTGTATGCTATTGCCAACACTGTTGACCAGGCTTTTTCGGAAATGCAATCTGCCTTTGCTGCTTTGCAGAAAGCCTTTGTTGAACTGAAATTGGCACTTTATGGAGTTAAAACCAAGTACATGATGTATTCCAATTCACTTGTATCTGATGATTTATGCATGTGTACATTGGATGCTGCCCACATTGATCGTGTCCCCTCTTATAAATATCTGGGCATCTGGATTGACGATAAGTTTATCTTTTAAAAAGCATATGGATGAGTTAGTTAAGAAGTTGAGAATAAAAATGGGCTTCTTCTTTGTACAGTGCCTTCGGAAAGTATTCAGACCCCTTGACCTTTTCTGCATTTTGTTACGTTACAGCCTTATTATAAAAATGATTAAATTGTTTTTTTCCCCTCATCAATCTAAACACAATACCCATAATGACATAGCAAAAACAGGTTTTTATAAATTTTTCCTAATTTATGTATTTTATTAAACGTACATATCACATTTACATAAGTATTCAGACCCTTTACTCAGTACTTTGTTGAAGCACATTTAGCAGTGATTACAGCCTCAAGTCTTCTTGGGTATGACACTACAAGCTTGGCACATCTGTATTTGGGGAGTTTCTCCCATTCTTCTCTGCAGATCCTCTCAAACTATGTCAGGTTGGATGGGGAGCGTTGCTGCAAACCTATTTTCAGGTCTCTCCAGAGATGTTCGATGGGGTTCTATTCCGTGCTCTGTCTGTGCCACTCAAGGACATTCAGAGACTTGTCCCGAAGCCACTCCTGCGTTGTCTTGGCTGTGTGCTTATGGTCGTTGTCCTGTTGGAAGGTGAACCTTCGCCCCAAGTCTGAGGTCCTGAGCGCTCTGGAGCAGGGTTTTCATCAACGATCTCTCTCTACTTTGCTCCGTTCATCTTTGCCTCGATCCTGACTAGTCTCCCAGTCCCTGCTGATGAAAAACATCCCCACAGCATGATGCTGCCACCACCATGCTTCACCGTAGGGATGGTGCCAGGTTTCCTCCAAATGTGACTCTTGGCATTCAGGCCAAAGAGTTCAATCTTGGTTTCATCAGACCAGATAATCTTGTTTCTCTTGGTCTGAGAGTCTTTAGGTGCCTTTTGCCAAACTCCAAGCGGGCTGTTGTGTGCCTTTTACTGAGAAGTGGATTCCGTCTGGCCACTCTACCGTAAAGGCCTGATTGGTGGAGTGCTGCAGAGATGGTTGTCCTTCTGGAAGGTTCTCCCATCTCCACAGAGGAACTGTAGCGCTCTGTCAGAGTGACCATTGGGTTCTTGGTCACCTCCCTGACCAATGCCCTTCTCCCCCGATTGCTCAGTTTGGCCGGGCGGCCAGCTCTAGGAAGAGTCTTACTGGTTCCAAACTTCTTCCATTTAAGAATGATGGAAGGCACTGTGTTCTTGGGGACCTTCAATGCTGCAGACATTTTTTGGTACCCTTCCCCAGATCTGTGCATTGACACAATCCTGTCTCGGAGCTCTACGGACAATTCCTTCGACTTCATGGCTTGGTTTTTGCTGTGACTTGCACTGTCAACTGTGGGACCTTTTATAGACAGTTATGTGCCTTTCCAAATCATGTCCAAGCAATTGAATTTACCACAGGTGGACTCCAATCAAGTTGTAGAAACATCTCAAGGATGATCAATGGAACCAGAATGCACCTGAGCTCATTTTCGAGTCTCATAGCAAAGTGTCTGAATAGTTATGTAAATAAGGTATTTCTGGTGACACCATTTATATGAATGCAACTTCCACTACACTGAAACCATTAGATGCAGTTTCAGTGTAGTGGACTTCGCTTTATTATGGGTGACAGGTTCAGTACACATCATTGCATCCTATATCAGAAAGTAGGCTGGCCCTCTCCTAAGTCTCGTAGATCAATACACTGCTCTCTTTTTGTTTATAAAGCCCTCTTGTGCAAACTTCCATCATACCTTACTTCATTGTTAAATTACAGTGATACGAGTTACCAGACCTGATCACAGGGATGGCTTACTCTAAATGTCCTGTTGATCACTACGGAATTAGGAAAATCTGCATAAAGTTTTTGGGCGCCCCATATTTGGAATGATCTGCAGAGCTCTCTGCACCTTTTTACAATGATGGCATTTCAGTAATTGTGCAATTAACAGCATAATAATAATTTTCTGAGGTAGTCTTTATTTCCATGTGAACTTAATTTTAGTGTATACACTCTTAGAAAAGAAGGTGCTATCTAGAACCTAAAAGGGTAATTCAGCTGTCCCCATAGGATAACCCTTTGAATAACCGTTTTTGGTTTCAGTTAGAACCCTTTTGGGTTCCATGTAGAACCCTTACCCCAGGGGGCTCTACACGGAACCCAAAATGGTTCGACCTGGACCCAAAAAGGGTTGGGGACAGACGAAGAACCCTTTTGGAGTGTTAACAAACAAACTCACAGAGCTACCAGTCCTGTCATTTATTTCCTAAGCGTCAACATCACATCAGCCCTTCACAGCTTTTCTCGATCGCTAAGACACTTTCAATTAAACTTTTATTGAAACTGATCTCCATCATAACCTAATGAGCACAACAGTATAATAAGTAAGTTCTCATTGTTTTCACACAAAATGCAAATGCTAAGCAGTAAACACAACTCTCTACAAAAGATGTAAAACTCAGTTGAGTAAATCATGTAAACATTTGGTGACAGCTGATACAAATTACACCCATGAATGTGAACCTCTTTTGCACATGTGCATCAATTCTTTACACAATTGTTCAATCAGCAATTAGTCCTTTTTCATGCATTAAAAAGGTCACTCACCTCTGAATTGCTGTTTGCAAGAATGGACCAAGTAGGAGGCCGAGGGCAAGGACAAAGGAGAGGTAGAGGGGCCCATAGACGAAGAAGGGTTCAGATGTGTGGAGGTGGAAAGTTTAAGATGACCTTCTACATGACCAGATGTCCCTCCTAGACACAATGACTGCCTATTGTATGGCAATCACTGCAGAGGACTGCCAAGCGTGAATGCGGCATGCAAGGAGATATTTTTCCTCGCTGCACTGCAAGGGAAAACATCCAGTGTGATGTGGATGAAAACATGTGGCCTGATTGACAAGAACAACTGGACTGAATGTGGTGTATACTGTATTATTATTATTTTTTTTACATTGCTTTGTTTTTGCAGTGATTTGTTAGCTTGGTGTATTTACATTTTACTCTCTGTATATACTGTACAGCATCATTTAATTTGTAAAGGACAACATGGAAAAAGGTCAAAGAAAGCATTTTGTTTCTGGATATTCATGCTCTGAGTGACATTCTTTCTGCTTTGGTCATCTTTGGTAAAATCATTTTAGGAATAAAGAATACAGCCCATGTTGTGATAATATATTTACTTGCCTTTTATGGTGCATACTATAATTATAGTATCAACAAATGGCAGAGAAATATAAACTCAGCAAAAGCCTATTGCGGACAGTCTGAGCACTAATGGAAGGATTGTGCGTTCCTGGTGTAACTCAGGCAGTTGTTGTTGCCATCCTGTACCTGTCCTGCAGGTGTGATGTTCGGATGTACCGATCCTGTGCAGGTGTTGTTACACGTGGTCTGCCACTGCGAGGACGATCAGCTGTCCGTCCTGTCTCTCTGTAGCGCTATCTTAGGCGTCTCACAGTACGGACATTGCAATTTGTTGCCCTGGCCACATCTGCAGTCCTCATGCCTCCTTGCAGCATGCCTAAGGCACGTTCACGCAGATGAGCAGGGACCCTGGGCATCTTTCTTTTGGTGTTTTTCAATGTCAGTAGAAAGGCCTCTTTAGTGTCCTAAGTTTTCAGAACTGTGACCTTAATTGCCTACCGTCTGTGAGCTGTTAGTGTCTTAATGACCGTTCCACAGGTGCATGTTCATTAATTGTTTATGGTTCATTGAACAAGCTTGGGAAACAGTGTTTAAATCCTTTATAATGAAGATCTGTGAAGTTATTTGGATTTTTACGAATTATCTTTGAAAAACAGGGTCCTGAAAAAGGGACATTTCTTTTTTTGTTGAGTTTATAAGAGGGTTAACCATGTTAGGGTATATTGGTAGTTGTAGTTAGTATTTATTGGGCCATTGTGTAACGATTGATTGAAATAACTTTTCATTAGATAACAAGTTGTATGTTTTGATGAAGGTAGTTGATTTTGTGTCATGTATTCAATGTTTTGAGAGTCTTAATGCATTTTGCAAATGAAATTAGTTGGGGCTGCATGGTAATTTTTTCGATAAAGTGAATTCTCTTTGGACACATTTTTTAAACAATCGAGAAAGCAATGTAGCAAATTACAGTTTATGTTATTAGAGAAGAACTATGATATTTAAGTCAATGTGTTGATATTGAGTCTCTCTTTCTCTCCACAGTACTCTGTGCAGCCCAGCATTCAGCCCAGCCAGAGACTCGGCAGGTGAAAGTCATCGTGGGAAAGTTTCTCTCTTTTCCAGAGAGGGTGTTAAAGTCTGGCAATTTACTTTATGGAGCCCTTGGCAATATTGCACAGGTGTACTCTAGTAAACAAAGTAATATAAACCTTGAGAAGAGATTTCAAAACCGCCTTAACTGGAACAATGTTACTGGATTCTTCACTTTGTCAGACCTACAAATAGAGGATTCTGGGGTTTATACTGTGGAGAATATAAATGAAGTTGAAGAGAAGACGACACATACATTTCAGCTGACTGTGTACTGTAAGAGTGTGTGTGTGTGTGTGTTTGTGTGTGTGTGTTTGTGTGTGTTTGTGTGTGTGTGTGTTTGTGTGTGTGTGTGTGTGTGTGTGTGTTTGTGTGTGTGTGTGTGTGTGTGTTTGTGCTGTAATTTACAAAGTCATTAAAGCGACAATCAGCAGTAGAAACAATAACAAAGTGTACTCCCCGCCCCTAGTTCTGTAAAAAAAAGCTGAGGGATAGGGCTGGAGAAATGTAACCACTCTTAAATTCATAGACATAGCTATGGATGCAAGGACTGATCAACCATTATATACAAATTATAGTTGTAACCATGTTTTGAGACTATATAGTGTTTGTTTACAATTTATTTGTTTACTAACACTGGAGTAAAACAAGCTGATGGGTTCTCCTAAGCTCATGAGGCATTTATAAGTTATATTCTTCAAGAATCAATGGGTCCATATCATTAATGTATAAGTCCAAAAATGGATGAAGCAACTGCTCTTTGCCACTTTAAAGATACGTTCCATTTCACAAATTCTAATTTTTTCATTATGTGTCTTCCAGATGTTCTGTCCAAACCTCAGGTGACAGTCCATGACAACAGCTCTTGTACCGTGGTGTGTTCTGTGGAGAACGGAAGAGATGTGACCCTGTCCTGGTACAGAGGAGGGGAGATACTCAACCAGAGCAGCAGCCCTGACCTCAACATCACCCTCTCTCTACCTCTCAAGGTGGATGAACAGAACAGAGACTCTTACAGATGTGAGGCTGCCAACCCAGTCAGCAAGGAGAGCGCTGTTGTTACACATTTCTGTATAGAGAGTGATCCCTCCAAGGTGACAGGTAAAAACATTTACAGTAGCAATGTTAAATTGCTTATATCCAGACAATACCAAATTGAATATGAAACAATAAGTATGGTAAAGCTCATTTTATGAAACACAATGTTTTAATAAAAATATTGTTTTCTCTCTTTTTACTTTAGATGGTGATGAGAGGACTCGAGGTTGTCTTACTATTGCTGTAATCTGCGTTTTGGTTGCCTCAGGACTTGTTGGACTTGCAATCTATCTTAAGAAGAGGAGAAACGGACAATCACAAGCAGGTATTCATCTTTTAGTGGGGTTTGGTCATTCTCCTTGTCAAAGTAAAAACATGTTGTGCACAACCTTTTAAAATTATCAAGGATAGTGTTTTGGAAAAGGAAGGAAATGTTTGCCTGAACAACGGATGCAGGTCAAATGAAGTGGCATATCTTCCACACTTACTCTGTTTGGTCAGACAGTTACATTATCTCAGACCACTTCTCTAAATGTTGAAAAAGCAGAAGGCACACACACACACACACACACACACACACACTCTGACTATCATTACTATATAGCTTCTCTGGCACCAAAAAGACAGCTAACACAGACACAGGTACCCATTGTAACATGAGTCCTTAGTGTTTGCAGAACCTGTCTTGGGTTGAGCATTTGTGCATATCTGTCAGTTACTCCCACCCACACTGTATATTTCATTTCCTTTCTTTGCCTTTATAGATTCACCCGAAAGAAAGCAAGATGACATTCACTATGCAGAGATAACTCTCATTAAACCAGCAGATAACCAGGTTAGTAATAATGCTACAGGCTGATAAACATAGGAGATGTAATACAGCAGTTTTGTTACAACTATAGCCTTTAGCGCTGTGCCAGTGAGTTAATGTGGTCTTGAGTTGCACAGACAACCTGAGTTTAATAACCGTCCTGATGTCATTGCAACCAGTTTTGCCCATATGAAATGGTCGTTTTGCACAATGAGAAGCCACACTGCACATATTGTATACACAGTACCAGTCAAACGTTTGGACACCTACCCATTCAAATGTGTTTATTTACATCCCTGGTAGTGAGCATTTCTTCTTTGCAAGATAATCCATCCACCTGACAAGTGTGGCATATTAGGAGTATTTCTGTCTTTAATAAAGCCCATTTGTGGGGAAAAACTCATTCTGATTGTCTGGGCCTGGCTCCTGCATGGGTGGGCCTATGCCCTCCCAGGCCCACCCATTGCTGCGCCCTTGCCCAGTCATGTGAAATCCATAGATTAGAGCCTAATTAATTAATTTCAATTGACTGATGTCCTTTTATGAACTGTAATTCAGTAAAATCTTTGAAATTGTTGCATGTTGCATTCATATTTTTGTTCAGTATAGTAATGCCTTTGATCTTCCTGTGTCTTTTACAGTATTTGCCAAGTCTGTGGACATTTAAGCTTGGCTTCGTGGTTCCTCCCACTAGATTTAGGAATGGTCCTAGATGTGTTGACTGTTGAGTTGCCTACTGCAGAACAATGAGACTAGACAAGAGAACGTCAGACATGTCTTGTTTCCTTCCTCTGGTGCAAAGTATCTAATAACGAAACATATTATCCTTTTTTCGTTGTTATTTTTTGCTTTCCTATACCTCCTCCTCTCTTTCCTTGTCCCTCTCAATCCTTCCCTCCCCACCTCCCCCCCTCTCCCTGTCTACGATTAGCGAACAAGTATACAAGGACTGGAGGCGCGTCGAGACAACCCTAACCTTACATTAGTTTATGATACACTCCAGTTACATCGCATGGCTGCCAGCGAGGATGTTAACACTGCATGAAGGAGCAAAACAGCAAGGTTCTGAGAGGGTGACATGATAATTCACATCCAAGAGAAGGCGTTACATCCTAAAGAGGACGTTAAGACAAAATTATAGTAAATATTCATCTAGAAAACTTAATAGAGGCACAGTTGTTACTGGAGAAAATTCCCATTTAACCATTAAGATGTTGTTATCATTTCAGACTTCCTTTGTTGGTCATTCTCACAGTCTTTTGTTGAATTGGGGCTTCGATGAGATTCAATGATACAGACAATTTCATTAGCTATGCCTAGGATTATTAGTAGGATGATCCTCTTTTCAATTGCCCATTGTCCCAATTTATAGGTTAAAACAAATGGAACCTATCTTTTAATCAAATTCACTAGTGCGTTTGCTATGCTATGCTTTTTTTCAGTATTGTCTGTTCTGTTTAAATGTAGGTGCCTCCCCTGTATCTTTTTATAGCTGGTCATTGTTTAGCTTGCCAGTGGATAGCAGCTGTATACATAAAAAGCAGATGTTTGGTGAGATAAAGCCACCTACTCCTTAGAGGCAATGGCTGTTAGGCTACGATGGAAACAAAAAGTCCATAGGTTGATTTTTTCCTTTCACCATGTAGATTCTATTGAATTATTTCTGAGGGGTAGATCTTGATTTGCCTTTTGACTCAGAAAGGGATCTTTGGTGACATTTTAATCATTGCTTTTTGCAAAATGCAGAGATAATTAAGTGTATTTCAGGTCTTGCTTTGATGACAACTGTGTTCATGCATTTTGAATGTACGAAATTAACAGTTTAGTTTATTATGATGGACCATTCATTGCTTGTCCTTATCTACACAGTATGTAGCTCATTATCTCTTAAGAATAAAATCACTCCCTCCTGCACACTCTTGCAGACACTCCTTCTATTAGAGCATTTTGTGCTCCAAATACGTTAGCCCACATATATAACTGTGAAAAAATACAAAATCTACTGATACCATCGTGAGTTGTTGCACTGTAGGCTATTTCATTTTTATAAATTTCTATTTCAGAGTAGTTACTGAGACTGAATATTAAGATAATATAATTCACATTTCAATATTCTAAAATAAGCTTATGACTTATTCAAACTGATAAAGTGTACTGAGCTTATTTTTTTGTTCTGAGCTTCAATATATTAAGTCAGACTTGCACATACATTACATACATTTCCTAATGTTAAATGGTCGTCAATCCCCCATTCATGCTTGAAAAATATACTTACCTTATCACAACCCAAAATTTGATGTAAGTTTACTCCATTGTTTATATTTTTGTTGTCATTTCAGTTTTTGTAAACAAAGAAAGTATTACTACAATAACATTTGAAAACTGTTAGACTTTGCATCCATAGCTGCATTCAAGAGTTTGAGATCGGCACAATTTCTCCAGATTCTGGTTTTAATGTTTGACCTAGATAGTTTGTGTATATGTATTGATATATAGGCTACGTGTGCCTTTTTTTATTGATGTAGTTCTGTCCTTGAGCTGTTCTTGTCTATTAATGTTCTGTATTATGTCATGTTTTGTGTGGACCCCAGGAAGAGTAGCTGCTGCTTTTGCAAAAGCTAATAGGGATCCTAATAAAATACCAAATACCAAATGTAGCCTACTTCTAGGGTCAAACTAGGAGGGACCACTGTAATTGTTTGGTGGTTTTCAAGTGTGTTACTCTATTTGAGTTTAAGTTTATTAGGGACGTTTTGTCCAGTTACTTTTAATGCCAGGCAGCTGTACATTTCTAATTTGAAAAGAATGATGACGAATCCTATTAAAGTTCAAGCATTGCTTTCAAGGAAACAATGTTTTTCTTTTAATGTATTTCCCCATCTAGTGGTTGATAGTTTTTATCATCTAGTGGTTGAATGGTTTCATATTTCAGCATACTGTACCGTGCATACTACACCATTTTGTACTCTGAGCCAGTGTGCTGTATATATTGTAAGTGTAATTTAAATCATTTGTCAGCTAAATGTTCTCAAACCTTTCTATGCTTTTACGTTTGGACTGTGGTCATGCATTATGGTGCCAATTGATATTTTATATAAAAACATGTATTGTAAATGGGTTCTCCTGAGTAGCGCAGTGGTCTAAGGCACTGCATCGCAGTGCTAACTGTGCCACTAGAGATCCTGGTTCGAATCCAGGCTCTGTCGTGGGCGGCGCACAATTGGCCCAGGGTCGTCCAGGGTAGGGAATGGCCGGCAGGGATGTAGCTCAGTTGATAGAGCATGGCGTTTGCAACGCCAGGGTTGTGGGTTTGATTCCCACGGGGGGCCAGAATATACAAATATTCACTAACTGTAAGTCGCTCTGGATAAGAGCGTCTGCTAAATGACTAAAATGTAAATTATGTTATTTTTAATTGCATTTGGTCAGAAAATATGACTGCCTCATTTATCATTCTGTGCAAATTCAGATTGTTCAATCAAATCAAATCAAATCAAATCAAATCAAATTTGATTGGTCACATGCGCCGAATACAACAGGTGCAGACATTACAGTGAAATGCTTACTTACAGCCCTTAACCAACAGTGCATTTATTTTAAACAAAAAAAGTAAGAATAAAACAACAACAAAAAAAGTGTTGAGAAAAAAAGAGCAGAAGTAAAATAAAGTGACAGTAGGGAGGCTATATATACAGTAAAATAAAGTGACAGTAGGGAGGCTATATATACAGGGGGGTACCGTTGCAGAGTCAATGTGCGGGGGCACCGGCTAGTTGAGGTAGTTGAGGTAATATGTACATGTGGGTAGAGTTAAAGTGACTATACAATGTTGGGAGTTCAGTGTTTTGTTACAGGAAATGAGTATCAAACCCAGATTAGCCATACAGTCTTTCAGTCTGCAGCAGCATGGACAAGGTGGTGAGTACCTTTACATTGTCACTTTGATTTCTGATCTACATCATTATGGTCAATATGAACAACTCCTTTTGGCTCCCCCTAAAACAAAGATGTTTCTGCAGCCCACACTGACAACCCCTCCTTCTTGTGCATAGGTTTCTGGGTGTTCAACTTTTTCATCAGAAACCAGCCCATATGTATAATTAATGAAGTGTATAAAATATATTTAGTGAACAAAGTGTTGTGAATAATGTATTAATATCATCAAGGAACTCAGGGAACAGACAAGACAACAAGATTCAGATTGGGGGACATTCTATAGGCCTAATATAGGAGAGCTGGCAGAACAGTCATCCTGTACTAAAATGTAAACGTTTCATCTTAATATTGATTAATTTAATGAAGATACCGTGCAAATAATTGTCTTACAAACGTTCAGATAAAGTGGTCTGACATATCATCACCATCTATAAATGTTATATTCAACACACACTCTCAATTTTATATCTCCTCTTCTCTCCATCTGTATTCTCCACAGTATAACCCCAGAATCTTCTATCTGAAAGTCACAGAGTAGATCTCTCTGCACAGAGTAGATAACTTAGATATCTCAGGATCAACACAGTTGTCACAAAGTACAGCATATATATTATATACGTAAGCTACAACATTTAGAGTCAGTTTTTTCCAGTTTAAACACCCCAAAACTGCAGTCTTTATTTGCTCATGCTACATCACTCGTCTTGAAACTAACTGCAGCATTTTCACCCATCTCACTTGTCTGACCATGACCTATTTAACAAAGCACATTACCTGTTCCTCAACCACTCGTCTCTCGCTCTACCATCTGGCCCCTACATGACAGATAGACAATGACCACGTAATCACAGGAAACCACAAACATGTTCTGTTTATAGTGGAGCAGTCTAACTAACCTTTAACATGCAGTGTAAATACATGCCTACTTTGGATGAAATGTATGAGTGAAAAGCTGATCGGTATTACATTTTAATATATTGGTTGGGCATATCCTGCATAGATAGATGCATTGCATTCGGAAAATATTCAGACCCCTTTACTTTTTCCACATTTTGTTACATTGCAGCCTTATTCTGAAATAGATAAGTCGGTTTTTCCCTCATCAATCTACACACAATACCCCATAAAGACAAAGCAAAAACAGATACCTTATTTACATAAGTATTCAGACCCTTTTCTATGAGACTCGAAATTGAGCTCAGGTGCATCATGTTTCCATTCAACTCAGTTCAATTCTAATGAGAGATGAATCAGTTAACAGTCACAGATACAGTAAATGTGTACCTTATAATCATTGTTCCACATGTCTGTGAATCAAAACAACCAATCAAGTGTTGGCATACTCTGTAGTTTTTGTGCCAGATTGGACTCAATGGACAGATGTTTGGTATTTTATGTAAATCTTTGCACCTCCAATAGGTAATATTGGTCAACTATAGCATTTTAGCTTACCCTTCCCCTAACCATTATTATAACCTCAACCCAATTCACCTAACCTTTTACGTAAATGATCCTACCTTTGTCGTTAGTTTTACTAAACACTAAAGTAAATTCTCCCCGTAATTCTCCTTTGTTGTTACAACACAACAAGCAACATGGTCTCAGAGAAAGACATATCATACATCTTGAAGGAAGTATAGTATTATAAGTTACTCATCCCATTTATAAGAACTATGATACTGTCCTCTAGTTTGTGTGATATTATACGACCGCTGTTTCATTCATAATGTAACCTAACATAAAGTAATCTATTATAATAAATGGTGGGGAACAGATTTATATAGTAATCTTATGAATTCCCCTGAGGCCAGGTTGCAGGTACTGTGCAGACAACAACCTTTAAGAGCTTCCTTCTCCCATGAGAGCTCAATTTAAAACCCTATTTACCTCTCTCTCTTTATATATCTTTCTCTCTCTAAAACAGAGTAAAGAGAGGAATGGTTTGCAGTGATGCAAATAAAACACATTATTTCAACACATTAATGTTGCAATGAAATTAATTAAATTAAAGTCTATCTACTCAAACTCTGCACCATCTCTTATATCAACATAAATAGATTATTCTTTAATTATTATATGATAGACAAAATTAGTTATTTATTAATTATGTTTTGGGAGGGAATATGGAAAACCCTTTCCCCAAATGTTGAATAGGACGCATGACTGACAGCAAGACTAATTCCCCTATCTGGACTAGGACTACCCTAATCAATAAAGCATCCATATCGTATGCCTATGCAATGTCCTTTCATTTTAATTATATTATTAGGACATACAGGACTACATTTAAGGTTTATGTGTAGAGGTAAAATAGGCTTCTGGTATGTTGAGCACAAATAGTTGCTCTAACATAATTTCCATCATGTTAGGCTTTTATTTTACACAATTTATATAAAATCAGTCATTTATATTTCATAGTAGTTATTGCAATCAATAAACCAAATGCACATCATTTAAGTAAATAAAAGTAAACATAGGCCTACATACCAACAAGACATACCAGACTCAACTTAAGTTTAGCCCTCCATAGCAGGTCCTGATGGTTAGACCTTACAGGTGCACGTGAGATCTCAACAGACCTGGTCTCACCACCAACCTAACCTCTCTCTCCCTCTGGAGGTAGGGAGAGAACATTACAACTCCATTTACAGCTGTGTAGCTGCCGACCCTGTCAGTAACCAGACCATCACCGTCAACATGAGTACACCCTGTG